ATGGATGGATAATGGATGGATGGATGAATAGATATATAGATGTATGTATGGATATTTGTATGGATGGATGGATGGATAATGGATGTATGGATGGATGGATGGATGGATAATGGATGGATGGATGGATGATGGGCCCAGTTTTCTTTGGGGGGGGGCTGCTTTTACCTGAGCGTTCCCGAAGGCCACGTTGGGACAGAGGCGGCTGATGTCCGACTTGCAGGGGTCAAACAGCTCCGGCTCCAGCCGGATGTCCTCCGACTGAGGAGAAAAAGGGTTTTCCAGCCTCAGACGGCTTTAATCTCCTCACTCAAGTCTCAAATTCAGGGTGGAAACGCCACTTTTTACTCCTGTTGTCACTCCAAATGTTTCACAATACTTAAACTCTAAACACACATTACAGCTCAAGCTGACTTTGAAGGGCTCTGAGTTAGAAAAAAGGTTAAGTAAAGAACACAAAAAGCTCTGTCGAGCGAGAAAAAAAAACAAAAAACTGGACTTAAAGAGAGAAATTAAATAGAATACAGCAGAACCATTTTCCAACATACAAAGTGAAATTCAGTCAAATATTCGACTTGACACACAAAGTAAGTTTCCAGCATATGTCGAAGTCATTGAAAAATATCTATAGAATATAAAAATTTAAATAAAAATAAATGAGCTAAGTCAGTTTAAAGTTCAGGTTGTAAAGGTAGAGTAAGTTAGGGTTGGTCCTGTATCTCAATCTCCACCTCTGAGCTAAAGGGCCAATAAAAAACCTTTTTATTGATTATTTCTTTATAATTTCTTTATTTTTCCATCTCTCTAAAGTAACTTGTTTTCTTGCTATGTGTGATTATCTGCAGTATTTATTAAGGACTTATCGTAGGTTTTTGGAACCAACTCTAGGAATTACAGTGTATTCTGATGGAAGATTTAAACCAACATACCAATATTTTAACATCCAGATACAGTTTTTTTTTTTAAGTCCCATCCCACACGAGCATTAGCATTAGCATTAGCATCTGTAACCACAGGTCTGTGTCCTAACCATTAAGTTGTTATCAGAGTAAATCCCTGTTCAACATGAGTCTGACAACTAAGTAAGTAGATAAATAACTTTAGACTTTAACACAGGCTCTGATAGGCCGGGATCGGGATCAAAAAGCTGGATGGGGACATCCCTAATCCAGAGCAAAGACTCCTTAGAAAGGGAAGTGACTTATGGCTGTAGATAGTACATTATGAGGCGGCTTGAGGGGGAACAAACTAACATATAGAGTGTGTCTGTGTGTGTGTGTGTGTTGGTTTGGGGTGCGTTTACCATCTCCAGCTCTTCCACCCGCAGCTGCTTTCGGCATTTGAGAGACACCCGCTGCTCCCTGACCTCCTGCAGGGTGTCGTTCCTCACCGTGGTGCTCAGGCAGATGACCACGTCCACCCTGCACACAGAGCCGGTCAGAGCCAGTTAGGGGGGGCTTTCTCCCTCCCGTCGCAGAGGAGGCGGGACCCACTTTTTCTTGATGTTGGGACACAGGCGCAGGACGTCCTCCTTGCAGGCCAGCTTGAACTTGTAGGAGAAGCGAAAGTCCTTCATCTGAATCTGAAAGGGGATCACAGGCATTACCAATTCTGCAAAAAAAGGTTGGTTTTATCCCTTTTTAAAGTTATTTTAGCCTCATTTTCATAAACCTGCATTATCTTAATCATACCAAAACATTATTGATAGTCCTAAATTATTTAAAAAATAAATGAACAACATATTTTCAACTTTTAATCATAAACATGGAGCATTGTATTAATACAATACAAATTCAACAAATCTTTATCATATAAGTTATAAATCGGTTTAAATCTTGAGGAATTGTGTAGAAACTACGATTTGAATATGACATATAATAAAGAAACATGTTGAATCCCCTAAAAGCTCCTCAGCATCATTTATTTGTTTTAAAATAGACAGCAAAAACAAAATATATTAATTATTTACTAGTTATTGATTCCATTTCAGTGTTCTTTTGAACAGTGTATGGGAGTATAAAATTGCTAAAAAGCCCCCCAAAAACATCTTGTTATTATTATGAAATAATATTTATTTTATTTTTCTTTATTCCATTTATTTATTTATTATTAATTACAATAATTTAATAACAAATAATGGGATGAATTTATCTTTATCTATGATAAATCCATCATCCTGCTGTGAATTTCATGTGATTTTTGCTGCATATAATCAACATATTTTTTCTGAATAATTTTCCCTTTTTGTTCATGCATGTTCATGTTCATGCATTTGGCAGACGCTTTTATCCAAAGCGACTTACAGAGGAGCTGTATTGGCCGGGAATCGAACCACTGCAGAGAGTTAGTTCTTCTTTGATTGATTGATTGTATTATAAATAAAATAAAATTGGAATTCCTGACTATTTCCAACCATTAACATTAAAAACTGAAGGATTTCAGTCAATTAATTAAAAAAAAAAAGATTACAGAGAGTTAGTTCTTTAATTGATTGATTGATTGATTGATTGATTGATGAATACTTTAATGATCTCACATGGAGAAATTAACAGAAAATGTTTCTGCAGCGTTGAGCTAAATGAACAATAAAAAATAGCCGGAAGGAGAAGGTGAGCTGGTGGAAGCACTGACCAGCTGGAAGTGTGTGACGCCCACTGTGCACTTGTCGTTCATCTCCTTCTGGTGTTTGTTCTGCACCAGACACTCCATCAGATCTCCGGTGTCCACCTGGTTGTCCGCCACGTCCTGCAGAAAAAAACCAGCAGAGCTTAGTCTCATTGTTCCATTTATACATAATGTTCAAACATTATAAGTCTATAATTTGTTATTCTTTTCAAGGGTTCTTGTCTGATTGGAATTTATGTGAGTTGTATTTGTTTTACATTGTATTATTTAGTATAGAGTGGATTTGCTTTTGTTTTGAAATTTAGAGAAGGCACTTTTATTTTGAAGTCAAGAGGGGTCTTGCTTGAGCTCTTGTGTGAGAAGCAATGGAGACTAAGTTAAGGATTTTTGCCGAAGTTAAGGCTAATAAGTTATGTTATATATATGACATATAATATATATGATATATAATACGTTAATGGAGAATCTTGAAGATTTTGGACAATTCCCTTTTTCTTGCAGCATGCAGCCAACGAGGTATTTTATTTATTTGTTTGTTTGTAAGTATTGTTTCCTGCTCTGCAGGTTATTGTTTGTCTCATTAATGTTTGTGTTTGTTAAATTTATTTAGTTTTCACGGTGGATTTGGGGATCTCAAAACGCCATCAAATAAACCAGTTAAAGAAAACCCACTGGAGTGTGCGTGTGCTTAGAGGGAACTATAGAGACATTGTGGCGGTGGCGGGGGGGCTGGGACGGCGTGCGCTCACGTGGCAGTGGGCCTGAATGATGGGCTCACAGGCTCGGATCAGCAGGGCGTCGATCTGGATGTCCTGCAGAGAAAAGCTCCTTCTCACGGCTCACGCTCAACAGCAAGAGTCAGCGTGCTGCTTTCCCACTGGCCCGGGTGACCTCTGACCTCTGACTCCAGCTCTGTCAGGTTGCCCACGACGTCCTTGCAGCCGGACACCAGGTCCTCCAGATGCTCCTGCAGACACTCCAGCTCCTGCAGACACAGGGGGAAAGAAAAGCTCAGTTATTTCTTATTTTATTTATTTTTTTAAAGCTAATTTATCTATTTATTTATTTTTTATTATATTTATTTATTTATTTATGTATTAAAGCTCATTTATTTATTTATTCATTTCATTTGATTTTTTTAAAGCATATCTATTTATTTATTAATTTTTTATTTCAATAATTTTTTAAAGCTCATTTATGTTTTTGTTTTTTTTAAATGCCCATTCATTTTTTTTATTTTCTTTTTCTTTTTTAAAGCTTATTTACCATATTTTCTGCACTACAATGCGCATCTAAAATCCTTACATTTTCTCAAAAAACCGACAGTGCACCTTAAATATGGATAAGGATCTACCTGCAACAGTTCTGGTAACTACGGTACTGGAGCTTCTTCTCTATGCGCCTTATATATGAACATATTTTGAAAATAGGCCAATATTTCAAAGGGGGAAAGAAAAGCTCAATTATTTGTATTTATTTATTTTAAAGCTCATTTATTTATTCAATTTTTTACTGTATTTATTTTTGTAACAGCTCATTTATTATTTATTTTATTTCATTAATTTTTTTTAAAGATAATATATTTCTTCTTTTACTTTCTTTATTTTTAAAAAGCTAATTAATTCTATTTATTTTTTATTTCTAAAACTAATTTATTTGATATCTTTTTAGTTTTACTTATTTGGGGAATGGGGGACTGGGGTAATGGGTGAGTGGGGTAGCGGGGGAGTGTGGTAATAAGGGACTGGGGTAATGGGTGAGTGGAGAAATGGGGGACTGGGGTGATGGGTGAGTGGAGA